AGATTCAGCACAGGAAATTCAGGAAGAAGCGACCTTCAAAAGAGCACATGCACCAGAAAGACCTGAAATCAAAGGCGGACTTCATTTAAATCTCTTAAGTTTCCTTAAGTTATCAGTCTGCGTTTTTAGTCAGTTTGAATTAAGGTTTGTTTAGGACTTTTCAGTTTGTAATCAATTAATATCTTACAATTCTGAAAGACAAATATTTTACGAATATTATTAAGAAATATATTTGTACTTTTGACAAGATGACATTTAACATTTTAATGGAAAATAATCAGAAACCTGAACATGTTCATAGTCTTAAAATTGGGATATATTTTTTAGTAAATATACAATTTCTCAGTCACTTTTTAAATCACATTTTCTTCTGTATTGTATCATCCATTTTTATGGTGGCCTTCATGGGTCATAACTGATTTCTTATGACCAAGTAACTATGCTGGCTAAACAGGCCTTGCTTAAATCTAAAGACACAAAAGCCTTTGACCACCATTTCCATAATCCCATGGAAATTGAACTGGGCCTAGCACTAAATCTCTAATGGACTAGATGTCTTCCCATAACCAAGATCATTATCTTCATACATCCAAATAGTTAGTCTCAATAGATGCATGGAGAGGTTTCAGTTCTTTTCACCAGAAAATCATAACTGCACTTATTTTCATTATTGTCATCCCTGTGCTAACTGAAAGCTTTTACATCCAAAGACACACAGGTCAGCTAGAGTGCTACACGATTTGTGTATTTGAAACATTACTGTACATCCTAAATTGGACCCTGAAGTTTTGAAAAGTCTGAGAAGGACCATGGACATATGAAATGGCACAGTCCTATTTTACTGTGTGCCAATGTGCTGCCAATTTGGTGTTTTAACGCTATACAGATCAAAATAGATGCTGAGGACACAGGAGGTCAGCTACATGCCTGCAATATCTACCATTGTTGATCTGGAATAAAAAAGACATCACCAGATGTGAAAAATCTATGTTGATGATTAATCTAGTCCAGTTATCTGCTGCCTTTGACTTCGGATAACTACTTTACTGAGTTTATTAATAACATTGAACTAATAACAACATTAAAATAATGTTATGATTTTTGTAAAGATTTTTAATTTTACTTCTTACTTATTTATACTGTAATACTGCTGTAAAAGAGCCTTTCATATGAAGAGGTCTTTGGATTCAGGATGGAAGCATATTTCATTCTTAAAATTGAATAACATAAAATATTAAATTGGAATCTAGCCATTAAGTCTCTTCTTCCTAGGGTTTAAGAGAAATTTGTCTCAGAGTTCCCAAGGGATTATGCCATTAAGCAATGGAAATTAAGCCTGTGCCTCCTGTGAAGCATCTTGGAGACCAATCTCCTGAGATTTTAGTCATTAATCAATCATGTGCTGGGTCAGTACTTTCAGTTCTAATAAAATAAAATTTAACCCCATCTGGCACAGGGCTTTAAGTATGCAAATTGTTAAGGATTGTGAAGGATTTAAGTGGTAGCTTTAAAAAACCCACAGGATGTAGACCACACTTCCATTAGTACAGTATTCTGATCAATACATTTGCATTTGTATATGTTTATAGGATAACTTGGGCCTAGTTATCCCTGCTAATGATCTGATACAGTGCATACTTTGTTTCAGTCACTGTTTTAACATTCTATTTCCCAGAGACTAGACTAGACATTTCTTAGTTTTATGAATTATTGTCTTACCTTGAGTGGCAATGAAGACCTATTCACTCTTATCATAATAGGGATTAATTAATAGTTTTGCCTAATCAAAACAGAAGTATTCTTTTGTAGTTAAAGTTTTTTTAGAAAGGAAATATCCATCTGCATTCCTCTAGCTGCTCAATACAAAGTAACAAAGTAAGTGATTATTCAATTAGATGTGTTAAACAGCCATGTACTACTCTAAGCATATACTCATTCTTTTACTATGTTTATGAATATACCACATACGTAAACACTATTACAATGTGAGATATGTCTTCCCCTTCTTTACAACTGGTCAATCTCACGATTTAGATCAACTCAGTCTTATCTCGACATCAGCACACACAGCTGCAAACCTCTCCAGTGCTCACCACAGATCACAGTCAGATGAGGCAAAAAAGACAACATCATTTGCATACAAGAGATGCAACCATCAGATGCTCAAACTGAATACACTCCAAACCCAAGCTGTGTCTTGTATCCCTTCCATGAAGATCATGAACAGGGCAGGAAATGAGATGCAATCTTGTGGAGTCCAACAACCACCTTGAATGGCTTGACTTAATACCAAGAATGGTATTAAGTCACATGGACACATCTGAATGGACACAAGAATGGACACATCTCTTGCTCCGTAAATATCATGTGTTACACAGCAGCACCCCATACTCTAGCAGGACCTGCCACTTGATACATGGACGTAAACCTTCTCCAAGTTCACAAAACACAAGTACTCCCATGCCACCTCAAAAATCTGTGCAAGGGTAAAGAGTTAGTCTACTGTTCCACGGCCACAACAGAATCTGCATTGTTTATTCTGTATCTAAGGCTTAACTTGGGCAGAGTCTCCTTTCTAGCACCTTGGCATTGGCATCCCCAAGGAAGCTGAAGAATATGATCCCTCTGTAGTTAGAAAACAGCCTCTGTTTCTCCTTTTTGGGGATGACCACTCAGTCTGCCAATCCAAAGGCACTGTCCCTGCTTTCCACACATCACTGAAGACACTAACCACAACACTCCAACAATATCCAGCACCTTCAACATTTCCAGCCTGATCTCATCTACTGCTGCAGCCCTACCCCTGTGGATCTGTTTAATCACTGTTGTGGCTGAGGTGACTGAAATGGACCTAGTCCCACCAGAGGCTTCTGGCACTGCCTCCTTGAATGGAGGGCATGTCCACTGGATTCAGGAGTTCCTCAAAGTGTTCCTGTCACCTCTCAACAATATCCCACGTTAAGTTAACCTTTCCCCAGCCATTCTTGAGAACAACCTCAACAACCTTGCCTTCCCATTCTGAATAGCTGGATGGTTTGCCAGATCATCTTTGAGACCAACCATCAGTCATTCTCTGCAGCCTCTATGAACTGCTTCCATGCCCAGGACTTTGCTTCAGAGAGCACCACAGCTATAGCCCTTTTGGCCTGTTGGTGCCTCCCTGCAAAATCCGGAGACACCCCCCCCGCCCCCCTGCTATTGTTCTCTGGTGATCAGATGGATATCATCTCATCCCCATGCATTAAAAATACACAGTTGTATTCTTTCTGCTTCAGCATGCCAAATTTAAAAAGGTGTATTAAAACACCTGTCATGGATATCTGTTTCACTTGCTTTCTAAGCCTGACAGTTATGCTGGATTGCAGTTGGCTGTTAAACAGAATTACCAGCTGTGACACATATAATTACAGCATTGGAAAAGAGATGAATATAAGCTGTAATATACATATAAAGCTCATGTTCTTTGCATGTCTTAAAAACACCTCTGTAAGGCTAATTTTAATGTTGTACCATCTTCACAGTTTCACAGTTGACAATGACAATACCTGTATTATTCTGAGTTACTGCCTTCCTATCCTTCACGGCACAACCTTCTGTGTACCTGGGGACAATTCTGCTGTGAGCGAGCATGTATAAGAGGGATATACTGTCATCCATTAAACTGAGCATGATAGCAAAAGCTTCCTGCCACAAGAGAAAAGTCATTTTCAGCCTCATGATAGTTCTTCATTAGCAGGGATATGTTTTCATTTAGGAGCAGAGGATCATCTTAATCAATTAATCTGAGCTAAGAGTCCTTGGTTGTGAAAAGTATATTTCAACTGTAACTTTGCTTAAATAGAACAATCCATTCATAGACTTGTAATAGGTTTGACAGATATGGGCTGCTTCTCCCTCAAAAACCTAAAAGCTATATTTATTTAAATTGATAACATAAGTCATTGCACCATGTACCTTATTTGATTGCTTTCGTTTTACTGCTTTTTGTCTCCTCTGTGTTCACTCCGCTCAGATTATCTGCCATTCTGACCATTCAGGCAATAGTTTCTGCTGAAAAGCTTCTACATGGTGGACTGGATAGCCAAGTGTTGAAAGTAGACCTGTATTAACATTCCCCTCATTGTACACTGTGTAGAAATAGATATCATGGAGGTGTGAAAGAACTTCTCACTGACAATTTCTAGAAATGAAAAGTCTGTTCTGGAGGAATTTTTAATTCAATGTTAATGTGGCATGTGGTATAAAATTAAACAAAGCAGCAAACAAATAACAGTATGTAAAATTGGGCAAGACCGAATTAATATGAAAATTGAATTGATAGTAGCTGAATAGCATTAAGCAGTTTAGTCAGTGATTTAATTTATTATTCATTCTTACTTGAGCGTATGCTAAACGTTTCCCCAAAATGAGATGCATATACGTCCTAAAGCTCGTTTTATTTTGCCTTCAGCATGTTTTCAAATTTGCAAACCTTATATTAATTGATAACTTTGTCTCATGCATGCCTGTTACGCTGATCAGCATAAATGGTAATTTCATTGCATACAACAAAAAGATCTCAGCTGTATTTTCTAGAATACAAAAATAAATGTTCCAAGAACAAACATAAATGTACAATTGAACAAAGAGAGATTGAGAATATAGGTTTCTGCATTATGAAATTGTGCAGTTTTTGTTGCGATGAGCTCCCTTGACTTCTGTCCTTCATTTCACAGAACATCAATATCTCATAGAAGCAAATGAACTTTGAGCTCTCTGTGTGAGGTGTCACTGAAGGAAATACAGGAAAGCTGACAGACTCCAACAGCTTCTTGCTTATATACAGTCATTAGTAGCCTTTAATGCTATGATCAGAAAGCTGGTACTGGTAACCCAGAGGTTAAAGGTTATCAAGAAACAACAAGCAGCAAGAAAAATGTTTTTCAATTCAGCATCTGTAACAGAATGATCTGAACATGTCTGATGAAATAACACTTGTCTTTGTGCATCTGGTTTTTCAGGTCTGTGAACATTGGGAGCCACTTGCACCAGGATTTTTTTTTTGATGATCTACTTTCATGCGTCTCCCTGTGTCAGACTCCAAATCCAGAATGAACTGTGAGCAGGACCTTATAGACGGGGGTATGAACGTCACCCTCACTCTCCGGCTGCTCATGCATGGAAAGGTACACTTCAGTGGAGAGGGAGGGATGGGAGACTATGATGGCTAGAAATATGTAAAAACTGCAACTTAATAAATTTTCATAAAATAAGGAATTTGCAATGAATAAGGACTGAAACTTGGCATTTTCAATATTCTTTCATTTTTTTAGATATTACTTTCTGTCTATTCTAAATATTAGGATAATATTCAGCATTTTCCATTGTAATGTTTCACACACCCATGCCTAAAGACAATATTACTCATAGCATAGCTAAGCAATTAAAAAGACACTGGGTAATATTAAAGCAGAATGCGAGATCAGTTTTTACCAACAGTTAGAAAAGAAACTGGAATTACTGTACAGATTTATGTTGGCCCTTTTTAATGTTTAGTATGGAACATGATCCACAAAGGAATTACTCTAATTAAAGTGAAAGATTCTCATAAACGTATGCCTAAGGGAATGTCTTTGGAATTAATTAAACTGTTTCTTTTGTGTTTAATTTGTTTTATTTTACAGGAGGTCGGCAGTATCATAGGGAAGGTGAGCTTTTTTTTTAATACTGTTGTAATTGCTATGGGTGTTATTTTTGTCTTCACCAGTCTGATGTTCCCCATTTTGTGTCTACAGTGGCTTGTCATCAATGACTTCTGACACTTTTACATCATGTACCATCTCCACTCATCTGCAGTGTATAGTATCTCCTAGATAACCTGTCCTCTTCTATCACTACTCCCCTACATCCACTTAGACCCTGCTTCTCTTCTCCTTCCTGCTTAATGGTTCCTCTCATGACTGCGTTCCTCTCTGTGGTGAACCCATCACCACCTTTTTGCACCTCTTCAAGATCCTCTTGTTTAGACTTGACCTTTAAACTGTATTATTTATTGTTGTAGTTCCTGTGCCTCGGGTGGCATTGCTTTCATTCCAGTTACTTTAGACTATAATTTATATCCTTGCGTTTTAATTTCTGCTGCTTGTTTTGTTGATTGTATTATGTGATATTATTGTATTAGTGGGTAACTTGTTTATATCACTCCACATTATAGGCAGCACTGAACTGTTAATATTTACAGGTCACCTTGTAGAAAGACATCAGTTAAATAATAATATCCCTACCGTTTTCTGGCCGTGCTGTAGGACCTGAAACATAACTAATTCTGCACAGCATTACATCCCAAAGACAGTTCTGTCTCTCCAAGGCTATCTTGCTAATAATGTCTTGGACTCAGGCCAACCCTTTAATATTGTATTCTTGGGAAGGATTCCAGATATACCAACACAACTCCAGCGTAAAAGGTTTCGGATAACTGCAGAAGAAAACTGGCTGGAGCCTTGCGGTATAAATAAAGAATGATTTTGCGAGTCTGGAAAAAAGTTTTGGAACCATTAATTCTGCTCATCCATTTTCTCTTACAATTGATGGCCAAGAATATTCAGAGTCTTCTGATCCTGCATTACAAATCTTTATGGATTTTGTGCAATGTATGTCTGCCTCTGTGCTCTCTCTCCCCTTAGTATAGCAAAATTGAGAGGTTAATTGGAAGAGATTGGAAGGATAATGTTACAGATGCCTGTATGCATTTGATTTAGTAACCCCCCTTCTGCTTCTTGTTTAGTGATGTAGAAAAAGTCAAAGAGAGTACATAACTATGTGCTGCAGCATGTGCATGGTTTTATAAGGTGGTTAGTTTATTTCTTGTTTTTTCTTGTTTTTTAGGGCACTAAATGCCCTAGACAGACAACACTACACAAGCAATGTCTCATAAGATTTATGAATCTTATTTCATAAATCTGCAAACATTAATTTTAGCAATCCCTGTTCTATCTGCTTGAAAATGTACAGTATCTTATAGGGCACATTTATATAAGCCATTTATTTCAGCTTTGGGATGTTGATTAATATATATGGAGGGCTGATTTGAGCCTAACCAGCACATTTCCATTTGTCACTTGATTTGAACAATGATTTCCCTTCAGTTCAAGATGTTTACTTCACAAAAATAGGAGATCATTGTTATTGATACTTGTGTTCATATTGCTACTAAGTTCTGGAAAATGGCTTCTCAGAAAATAACCCGAAGGGTTTATGATGGATGATGTGTTTCCTCCACACATTACAATTACTGACTGATCATTATTATTAATTACTGCAAAGATTCAATTATTATTCAATGATTCAAGTATTTTTACACTGGCTGTACTGCATTGCATGGAAATCAGTTTCTCCTCAAGTATCTGGTTACTGCACAATTGCAAAATAACTACATAAAAAGTAACAGAACTCTTCCCTAGACTGTTTTAAAATCTCCTTTCTCTCTCTTCCCTAGAAAGGAGAAACTGTGAAAAGAATACGAGAAGAGGTAGGTTCACAACTCACTGTATAATTCTACAACATTAAATGAATAGAATTGTAGGAAATGTACAAAATCTAGTGTTTTTCTTCAACCATCTCTTAAGGAAGTTTTAAAAGAATATATTAACTAATGTTCTAACCACAGGGATAGAAATAAGACTCTCTTGCACATTGGTTTGAGCCTTTTCATGTTTTACAAGCTGTCAGATCTTGTATCCAAGCGTGCTGGATTATTTTTTGCCCTATTTTCAGCAATTACATTCATTGCTACAATTATATTACATACATTATTTTTGCTTCATCAGTATGTTTGTACATGAGTCAGCACACTGTAAACCCTGAAACAGATCTGAAAATCTAAAATTGTTACTTATTTTTCTTTTAGATACCTTCACAATTTCAGTCACCACTGCAAGCCCCATATCACACACAGAGAATAAGGGCCCATGTACACATTCCTCTGATGTGCCCACCTGTCTGAGACATTCAGAATTTGTCAGGCTGCAAGTTCCACAGTGCCTTACAGGAGATTTAGCACAAAATGGAGGAATGGTGGGGCACTGACTAACACTACTGTAAACTCACAGACATATGACAAGTCCTAGAGGTGATCTGGCATGTTGAGAATACCCTGACTAACTCAATTCCAACCCAGAACTGTTGGCACTCTGTGTGCACCAAAGCTTGGAAAATCTCTGTCAGTGTTGGCTAATGACATAGCCAAGCTTTAATCCAGTGATATCTGGAATATAAAGCTCAATGTACATCCTTTATGAGCTGAGCCAGAGTACAGTCCCTTAGGTGTACTGTCTATTTCTGACACCTAGATTTCTGCTTTTTTCTCCTTAGTTTTTGCCCAAACTTAGTGCCATGTTATACACAGTATACAGGGGTAATAGTATACAAGTACATCTACTAATTAATGTTGTGACACTGGAGTGTAATAATCAAATGTGATGTAAGAGCATTATTGGCCTGCCTTATGTTCAGATCAAAGAAACAACCCTTTTCCAAAAACCTGTAAAAAAGCCAGGTTGTTTCATGAGTGATTATAGTCCATTACTTTAACTTTACCAGGCAACATTATTTTGTAATTCTTCTGAAAAATGTAATTTGCTGAAAGACAAGAAAAAAGGGACCTAACATTTAAATGTAAAAGTTTTAATTTCTGGGGTAGTTAACTAATTGAATTACACAACACAAGGCTGTATCTAATTCACTCAAAACATGTTGCTCCAAACTTCTATTTTCAAACAGTGCAACACCCACTCTTTAACCTTCTGGTCATTTGATACAAGGTGAACTCTAGTTTTATTATAAATATGTCTGCTAACAATCTGAAATGAAGCGCTATATAAACACCTGATAAATTCTCAAGACACTATACAAAACAGTTATTTTCATCTCCTGTGAAATGATTAGATGCAGAAATATATTACATCTGGTAATTATTTGTGCATTGCAGATCATATATAAAATAGGGATGTGTCTTCCAAGGCCAGTGCATTAACAACTGTGTCAACACATTAAGACTACATGCTTTGTCAATGAAATTAAATATATGAAATATCTGACACAGCAGAAATGCTTTTTATTTAGGCTATAAATGTGTTGAACTCTGTAATTGATCACATCATGTAAAGTCTTTTATCCTTTACACTGTGCCCATGTCAGCATTTCAGTTCTCTTGAAGGACATATTTCTTTGCTGAAACAATAATGCCATGCTAAAACAGTCCTATTTTTATAAATAAGATCTGCAATTGAGTGACTCAGAAGGGAGTTTAATGCTGCCATTAATTGGTAGCAACTTGTCTGGGAGTGTGCTAAAAGGACTGACAGAGCTTGTTCAGATTCTGCACATAGTAGACTACATCAAAATCCTATTAAGGTAAAAAAATTGAAATATATCATATTTGTCCTTCAGTGAGTTTAGGTGGATAAGTACTTAAATCCATGTTTTTCTGCCTTTCATTTATGCAGAATCGTGTTAAGAAATTCATATAATCTGACAGAAAACACAGGCACTTTTAAGCCGCTTAGAATTTGCAGAAATATCTCAGAATCTTCAACGCATGGCCATACTGTTTTATTTAATATATTTTATCATTTATAAATTATATTGTAAATGGAATAGAATTTAACAGTGTGGACAATTGACATTGAGGTTCCCAATATAAAAGGATTAAAACCTTTTTAAAAGAATTCTGTACTGATTCTTGCACATAGTTGTGTGTTCCAGTGGAAAACTAAAACAAACGTTTGAAATCTGGGTCACACATCAAGAGCAACTAACTCTGAAAATTAAAAATTAATAGGAAATAAAAAGCATTCTCCCTTTACAGTGACTGAGTAACAGTGATTAACCTAGGATCAGGAGACATACCTTCAAAGATTCTGTCCTGCAAGGCTGTGAATCACTTCCCTGGCAAACAGACACATTTCAGTACAAGAGGATAGCTTTGCTCATTGTCAGCACCCTTTTTGCTTTATCTGACTTAAAGAAATGTTTAATGACTCAGTATGACTAATAAGTACACTGGAATTATATGATTTCTGCTCAAACATGCATATACATATACTGTGTATATATATTTGGACTTAGGGCAAATATATTTAATATTAATAGTTAATTCTATTTAGAAGGGAAAATTAGGAACTCTACTGGAGAACATGTCTAATAGAGGCATCTTCTATAGGAATAAATGTGCCTTCTTTCCACTTTGAATCACCTTCTGCTGATGTTCTTTTGTTCAGTTTTTTTGAAGAACCTGGATTGAATGTGCCCCTCTTTCACTTGCATTTCAGAGCAGCGCACGTATCAACATTTCTGAAGGGTCCTGTCCAGAGAGGATAATAACAATCACAGGATCGACAGAGTGTGTGTTTAGAGCCTTTACCATGATCACGATAAAGCTTGAAGAGGTAACCGTAATATTTAAATATTCAGTCATGTAAAATACACACAGCCTCTGAACTGTACTCATCTAGCACCGTATAATGTTTGCACTGTTGTTAATGGGCCTTGTAAAAGCTGATTTATCTATAACAGTGGTTCTCAGTACTGGTTTTTGAGTACCTCTGTGTCCGCTAGTTTTTGCACTAATTAAGTTTTTTTATTACAGCTTGTTTATTTTAGTTTTCTATTTGAGACATTTTTTATATTTGCTTTTATGCTAAATGAGATTCTTAATTAGTATGGACTCTGTCCTAAGCAATGAATTTCTGGACTTTCATCTTCCAGCTATACATACTAAAATATAACCCATTGGACTTAAGCCGAAGGAAAAACAGTGACTGCGGGACTTGTCTGATACAGTGTCATTCCTACTTGACCCTGTTCATCAATTGATCACCAAGGGATGTTTAGTCAGGAATATGGGAGCAAATTCTTATTTATCAGGTTGAGTATAGACTTAGGAAGTTCTGTGTGCTGGAGATGTTGAAAATAATGTGTTTTGGGGTATTTCTGAAACCAAAGACATGAGTGCAGAAAGAAAGTCTAAACAGCAACCAGGTTAGTTACAGACATCAATTATTACTGGTGATTAAGTGCCCAGTTGGAACAAAAACCAGCACACACAGGGCTACTCCAGGACCAGAATTCAGAACCACTGATCAATATGTACCTCTACGGTTTAACGAGGGTACATTAAGTGGACCTCATATCTTGTTAATTGGTATACGAAGTGTAAACTGAGAAGATCGATTACCAAGACAGGAGGTCAAACTTGCACATCCTAAAATGAAGGGATTGTACTTTTTTCTTTCCCAAAGAGATGGTTTAATTCCAGTTTTAATTTGCTTTTTTGAATTTTAAAAGCTGTTGTAATTATTTAAAACGGAGATCTTTATTGTTAACAAGGTAATTGCGACTTTTGCATCATTACTTAACAGAGGTATGGCAGGTGTATGCAATTAGCTCAGGAGCAAAAAAAAAAACAAAGGAAGAATCTTAATGAGAGGTCTATGCCAAATAAAAGCCCAATAATAATATTGTTTTTTATTTATCATGAACCCTCACAGTCATAAAACTCCAAGGAGCAATATAGAGAATTCTAAAGAATGTTGAAATCCATTGTCATGAATTCTAGCAATTATTATTACTATTAGTCACTGTTGAAATACCACTTCTACATTGTTGAACATCTGTTTTTACAGTATGTCATAAGTCCATAAATCCTGATATTCAAGGAATATTAATAAAAATATTAACATTTAAATGCTTTTTCAAGCTGGTCACTACACTCAAAGTGTCACTAGTCATTTGGGTTTCAATGGTTTATCTTTCAGTGCCAAGCAAGCAAGCTCATCTCTCTAAAAATGTATTAACGACTATTACAATCTGCATTTGAATACTGATATGATTATTGAGCACAAACATAAGGGCTGTACGGTATATTTGTATGAGTGCTTAGATTCTATGCTACTGTATGTGCTAGTTTAGAATCTCTATGTACTCTATGACTATTGATTTCTAAACAATAAAAAAATCACTTCTTAAAGCTGTAGTTAAGCAACAAAAATACACAGACACTGTAAATGCCTGCAATAAAGGTATCAGGTGTTACAGCTTTTTAAATAAAGTAACTGCAGTACACTTGAGAATGTGGATTTCAAACAATTTTGATTTTTAACTCCAGTATACAGTATAGTATTTCTTAGGAATGAAAATACACTCCAGAGCTTGCTCCCTCTTACTATCCAATAGTATTGAGGGATCACAATCTCACCTGCATTTAGTGAAATTAATGTCAAATACTATTGTGTATGTTTAGCAAAAGAGAGTTGTTTATGCGACTAATATGTTAAACCAAAATAATATATTTTTTTAAAAAATTGTACATCCTATCAGGTCTGAAGAAGCAAAACACTTTTTTTTGATGATTTGGTATTATTAGCTATGCATGTGAGATGTTTTTAATGTCAAATTGCTCAGATATTATTTAAATCATCTGATCTCTAATCGTGGAGCCCAAAGTAAGGCTTAAATTATTTCATCTTGTAAAGAGGGAAACTATAATTCTCCCTTTCTTTTTTCTCTCTGGGGAGTATAAGCAGGCATTCTGATATTCATCTTTGTCATAGTAACCCTTGGAGCAGAACAGATTTTCTGCAGAAAGTAGAAAAACACTGTGTGCTATTAGTCACCCAAGGGTTAATATTGATGGAGACTAAAGTCGTGTCTTTTCTGTGTTTTTCTTATTTTTATGATAGAGTTCTTCAATACTCCCAGACTCCTCCCTGCTGTCTTGCTTGCTTTAGTGTGCCTGAGAACTTTATGCTCTAGTTGTTAGAAAAGTTTCTTTTTCTTATTCACTCAATAGAATTATACATCTAATCAGGTAGTGTGTATTCCTAATGAACATCCAAACACTAGTGTCATGCATATCAAAATGCACCTGTGAAGCTTTTATATCTTCGATATATTCATTCTTAATCTGTAGTGACACAGAGTGCGTAAGACAGCTACTTCTGTTACTGGTCACTAAAGAGAAGGTAATATCCATTTTATGTGGAAGCAAATTACTATTGATGTTTTATAATCCTTTGCTGGGAAAGTACAGGCTAGATCATGAAGTTGGAAGACATCTTTTTGTGTTAGCAGTACACAGGGGATATTATTGAATGTTTTTGTTTTGTTTTGATTGTGACAGATTCAGAGAGTGCTACTAATAATATTATACCACAAACCTTTGCACGCGTCTCTGCATGAGCCAAATACATGTAACATGATGTTTGCATGCAAGTATTGCCAGGTAGACAAAGTTTTGCATGCAAGTATTACCAGGTTTGTTTGAAATGAGCCTGTTATGCAGACATAACCCTCTGGAGCTTGAACTACAGTATATTGTTATACGTTATAAAGGCTTAGCAGGTTAACAAGTCTTTTGTTTAATGTGATTTGTTTGCCTACAAGGAAATTTCAAGGAATGGTAGGGTATGACTTAAATATGGTGGATGCCAATCAGGAGTGAATTGCATTTTATTTGAGTCAAAATGGCATTTCAAAATGTTAACAAATTAACATTGGTGAAGTCGAATATATACTGTATAATCAAATGAAGACATTTAGACATAAGCAAGGATAATGCTTTGGTGTGGATTGTTAGTCGTAAGACTAAGAATATCAGGGTGGCACAGAGGACAGTGGTTAGCATTGCTGCCCCACAACACTTGGGCTTTGGGGTTGATTCCAGATCCATGGTGCTGTCTGTGTGGTGTGTGTATGTACAGTATGTTTCTCCCAGTGTTCATGTGGTTTTACTCCACATGCTGTGGTTTCCACCAGCAGTCCAAATACATACTGGTGGGTGAATTGGCTTCTGAGAAAATTGGCCCTGATGAAAGTGGATTCATGTCTTTAGGTGCTCTGCAATGGACTGGCGTCCCACCCAAGGTGTACCCCGCCTTGTTGCTTGCCGAGATGGGCTCTGAATCCCCCTCAACTCTGAATTGGATGAAGTAGTTAGAAAATGGATGGATGGGCACTCGTAGTCAAAGTGTACTATGATGATAAAAGCTCTGATGATAAGGCCATTCTCTCCACATACTGATGAACAGAGAGCTGACAGTCAGCGCATATTGTGTACATTTTAAAGACCTGCATCTTTAGAGTCTGGCAGTCACTAATTAATTCCACAGATCGTCAGTCACTTTCGAAACAGATATTTATTACATGGCTTAATTAAAGAAAATGCCTTTTGGAAAGCCTTGCTTACTCTGACTAACACTTGTGAAAACTCTTATAGACAGCACTGCATCCAATAGATGCAGTTATCTGACCTAAACTTGATATGGGGAGCCTACAACATTAGGTGTATGACATTAATGATACAATAACACTTTGTCTGATTTCTCAGAAATTTGTTCTGCATCCAACTAGCTATGTTTTACACTCAGAGACTGACAAAAAGGTATAATCAGTAAAAATAAACAGACATCCACCCATACATACATTACAGGAATCACTTCTACAGGAATCCACATGATTTAACAGAACCTGTAAGTTTACACCCCTTGTCAAGCACCCAAAGAACACCTCCTCATTTTGCACATAACCATTGATTACACTTGCCCATAACCACAACTAATAATATATTAGTTGGACTTCAAGCCATTTAACATAGAAAAAACAATATTCACTTGCTGAAATGGCTTACAATTTCACAATGTATTACAAAAAAAATTGTATTTACATACTGTGAATTCAGTTGGCTACTACATGTACAAAACACTTTAAAGTCACCTTAAGGACCTAGGGCTTCTGTTGACTTTAGACATTGTTAGTAATTTTATATAGGACCAAGCAAGGAAGAGAAAATCCAGGCCGATGGTTAGGAATAAAGCACATCAGCGAACACTGTGCATTTCATCAGGGCATCTGGAGAACCACGGCAGTCCAAATGGTGTGCTACCCAATTTCCTCTCACCTCCTTAACTGTTAATCCATTTGAAGTTTACTGGGATTTCACTTCTTTCTTGTTATATTATTATATGCCTTCTTGGATTTGGTCCCCTCCATTATGCATAGAAACTTGCCGTGTTAACTACAGTATGTGCAGAACTGAACGTGAGGAACAAGAGCGGTGTTGCTCTGTAATATGTATAGTATAACACTAATTTACAACGCTCCCAACTGGTGAAAAGATTTGAATTCTTGTCGGAAGCTATTATTTGTGCTGATGTGTTAATAATAATGTATTTTTAGCAAAAATCAAGAGAACCTCAAAGAATAATTATTAAATGGAACAAGTAAAACAATACAAGGGGGGTACAAGAAAAAAACATTGCCTAAGGCTGAGATATTTCATAGCTGTTTTCTGCAAACTACTGTACTAAAAAGTACTTACACAGTTAAGGGTCATAATGTGAGCAGTACCCTGCAGTATTGAGGAGAAAGTTATAGATCTTGGCTTTATATCAAAGCTATGGAGTCAAGTCAGTCAGGTGTTGCCAACTCATCAGACTAACCCTTCCTCTTGTCCAGGACCTCAGCACACTGGTGGCCAATGGCACAGTTACCAACAAACCCCCAGTCACACTGCGTCTTGTCATCCCCGCCAGCCAGTGTGGCTCGCTGATAGGCAAGGGAGGATCCAAGATCAAGGAGATCCGAGAGGTCAGTGCTGACTGCCTGTTGTTGGCATCTCTGCGTTTTCAAAGACTGTTCCATGTTTCATACATTAGCATTCCAAAGCTTTTTTTTTAGTAACTCAAAGTGTCATGGACCCATACACAAAAATAATCCCCATTTTCATGTGGGTCTGCTACTACTAATTTTAACACCTGTCTTACTGTCTGCTTCTGGGGTGGCTGCTTAATGCTGCAAGACTGAGCAGTGGGAACATTACAGTGTAATGTACTGATATTGTTGGGAGTGATGAAAGTGGTCACAAGAATATGTGTTTCTAAATGCAGCTTTTTTCCTTCCATTTGTTTTCCAACCACAATAGAGCACAGGAGCACAGGTCCAGGTAGCAGGAGACTTACTGCCTAATTCTACAGAGCGGGGAGTGACGATATCTGGAACCCAGGAGGCCATCATACAGTGTGTCAAACTCATCTGCACAGTCATACTGGAGGTATGAGCTCCTGTCTCTAAATTTCTCTCCGTTTTTAAACTCACATACTGCATATCATTTTCTGAAGTTGGATTGTTCTAACTTGCCCTAGCATGGTACTGTGGTAGTTAGTGTTGCTACCTCTCAGCTACAGAGACCTGGGTTGAGTTGCGGCACCGGGCATCTGTCTGGGGAGTTTGAATTTATCTCTTGTGTTTTCACGCCAGCTCCAGACTTCTCCATATTCCTCAAACATATGGTTAGGTCCTTTTCTCCATGGTCCTGTGAAGTACTGGCATCCTGTTCAGATAGAGATTAGCCATGTGCTCTCAGTCTCACCTTCTACCCTGTGTTTCTAGGATATATTCTGGCTTGCCAGGATGAGCAGCTTTCCAATAACGGACAGACATTTTTAAACACAAACAATTCAAGCAGTTTTTTTTTTCTCTCCTAAAAATCACAAAAAGCAAGGTGGTTTAAATTATGTTACACAGTATAATAATGCAAAACCTTGGAAGTACTATTTAAACTTTTAAATGGCTCCATTTGTCCTTTTTCTTGTGGCAATATCTGAATATTAAACTTATTTTACATTATCAGTAGCATATATCATTTTGTTTATGCTTCATCAAATGTCTTCACTTTAGCTGCATTGCTCTGTGTACTTACAATGAATCAGCTGCAGATATGTATAAATTCTTTAATACTGACCTCAGATGTCTCCCTTCCATTAGATTTATATCTAATTTATCGTCATTTTTATTGTTGATTAAAAGCATGAATGTGTGCTGAAACAGTAAAATAATGATTAGTGGCAACATGTTATGGGCAATAATATTAATTAAATGCATCTCAAATTGAGCCAAATATTTATTACATGTAGGACATCATGAAATTTCACATTATTTTGCAGCTGGAATGGAACAGCGGCAAGCCAAACGCTATTCTGATCCATTGCTGGAATTTGAATTCATGGCCAGTGGCGCATGCCACCTGTTTTGAGATGTGAATTATGCAAACAAATGCAATAAAACTGCTTTAATTGTACACACAAGACACATTTTATATGCAGAAGCTGAAACCCTATCACCTTGATAAATAAAGCACATAGTTCAACACAGCATGTCTGCAACTCACTTCCACTTGGTTCTAAAAATGGTTAAAGTGGTGCTCTGTGTGGTGCTGTTCTCATCTAAAACAGCACATTTGTCTCGGAAGGTTTTGTCATCATTAAGGTTTTTTTTATAGCACTACACAAAAAAAAGTTTTACTATGTAACAGATAGGGATTATTAAAAGTATTTTTGCTTGTTGTAAAGCATTCTTTGAAAACACCCACTGGGGAAGACTATACAAATTAATGCTCTAGCCCTATTAATGTGTGCCTTCATTCAGTAATTGCATTACTTTCTGGCTGTTTATAGCTGATTTATATTTTCTTTTTCCTAAAGGTAAAAGTAACATGGTTGCATTCCTGCTTCACTGTAGTCAGCTGCCTGTTATATTGATTAGCAAGGCTAATTCCATCAATAATTGATGCAGTGACCTAAAACATGAACAGAGATGAGGGCATTTAGTTGATAATCTATCTGGAAAGGCTGGTTTTAAATAACTGCATTGCTGTTAGAAAACTAGAGAATCAAGTTTAAAATATTCATAATAAAGCTGATACTCAGAAAAGTATCCAAATCATTTCAACTGGCAGACGTCTTAGGTCCCATTCATTGTTATTTAGTACTTTGTACAAACAAAAACTATATGTATTTGTCCCACACATATATGATCAAACATTCCTATAATATAACTGTGCAGAGTATAAGGATCTTTGCTTCTTAGTGATTTGCAACGAATATTTGGTCTAAAGCAAAATGTAATCCCTGTTACCCAAAAAGACTGATATGGAAAAGATATAGATGTTTATTTTTTGCACTAAAAACATTAGTGGAGCTACCAGAGTTCCTAAAGAAAGAGAAAAAATGTGAAATAAGCTTTTTAAGTCATTGCTGTTACCTGTGACTAAGTAAATGTTTCTGCCCCAGAGCTGGTAAATACCAAAAACTAAAGCATTTTATGTGAGCCCAGATAAATAATTTCATTGTTAATGCTAATGAAGTGTTAATATGCAAGTCTTGCTGAAAGAACTCTTAACTTTACATATTAGCAAGACATAAATGATTAGTCCACAGGTTATACAGATAATAGGAGTAAGGCACCGACTTTTAGGTGAGCCTTTACAAATGGAGGTTAAAGTAAAATATAACCATCTCTCTTACAGTATGTCACAAGCTAGCTGGTTTAAAACTACACCACATGACAATATGCTTATGCTTTGGATTTTTAAGTTGATTTTCGTCCTTTTATAATACAGTTTACTGATATTTTGTTCAAAAAACACTTTGTTATTTTGTGTATTTTGAGAGGGACTTGAATACAGAATATATACACAAAAAAACCCATGCAAGAGTTAACAACTTCACTGGTTTTAGCAGAATGCTGAGGTAAATACATCTGTAGTGTAATTATCTTGCTTTTCTTTTACACGATTAGTATAATAAAAATTCTCTTTGTACCCAAACTGTTCCCTCTAACTTTTATTGCGTTAATTTCTATTATAATTGTTTTTCTCTCACTTTTCTTGTGGCTTTCTGCAGTCTCCACCAAAGGGTGCCACTATTCCATATCGCCCCAGTCCTGCCCCAGGAGCAGTACTCCTTGCTGGAAATCAAGTAAGTCTGTAAAACAGATGCCTGGTGTTGACTTGTGCCCTACATTATTAAGCATCATCTCCCAGCATGTCAGTGCACACTGTGGATCTGAGCAAACTTTGTGGATCTGAACTGAACTTTATTTGTAAAGCCAAAGGATTATGTCTGATTCTACTATGTTGGTTATGTGCATTACAATTGATTGCCTTGTGGTCAAACTTGCAGTTGTTAAGGATATGATTAATTATATTCATGAATATTCAATTAATCATTTTTTGTAATCCAGGAAGAACATGATTTCATTTGAGCATAAGGAGGCACCTTTCATTCAGTCGCTGTTCATGTGAAATAAATAGAGTATCTTGGAAAAATGGCTTCTACATTATTTTGTTTATGGACCAACAAGGAATATACCAGTAAAAGTGCAAGCTCAGGGCTCAGGTTCAGTTCTATAGAGATGTTATAGGTTTATGTCTGGGTTACTGACCAACAATAATAGGGACTCCACAAACAGTAACAAACAGCTACTGGGCTGAACTGGAAATTAGTGAGCTAGAGTCTTCTAATTTTTCAACTTGACAGGGGCCTGCTAGGTTTCAGTGATGTCAGTGAGAGATGCCTCTTCTCCTGTCAGTGCTACCTCTTCTATCATGCATTATGAATTTTGTAGCATGTCAAGTAACAAACAGGTCTACAAGAAAGCATGTCATAGGAGTGACTACACATCTCAGTCTTTCCTTAGTGACTACAACAGTCATTGCTAGAGAGCTAGGTCATAAAACACTTGAGACTTTAAATTAAAATGAATAACTGGCAATAGCAAATTCATTTTAAAAATCAATGATGAAAACTGGTCTTTATGAACCCTGCATAAAAGCCTGTTGGGGGCTACTCAAAACATTGTAAGAACATTGATATTCCCTTATGACTATTGATCTGAAAGACATGCAGAAACAAATACACAAGTGTTAGAGTTTTCAAATAAGATGTGTGAAAGTGCTTGCTATTATGTGCACTTAGTTTTAACTTTGTGGTTAGGGTTACCTTTAGAGTTATAAGTTATATTTTGAGTTGGGGTTAAGGTTGGGGTTATTATGAAAACCTGTTCTATCTTTGGGAAGAATGATCATAAAGGTCAATGAATGCTCTCATTGCATGTTACTGTATGTACAGTACATACTAAGAAGGTATTACTGTATGCAGGCTACAAAAACCTGAACTGAAGAAAGAGTTCCCACGTTTTCAAACAGCTTTAAATAAGTCCCTTTTCTAACAGAGACTGGAGTTTTGACATGTATGTAATTTACTCTTTTATACTGAACGCTCCACACTCACACTCATGTTATTTCTCAACCAATTTATTACAGCTGTTTTAAGTTTGACTCAGTGTTCATATTAAGATTGCTTATCTAGTGCAGCAACACCGGGCCTCCAAAAGTAATTTTACAGTCTGTGCACCTCTGACTAATTAACTATTCTATATCTTGTTTCTGTTCCCTCTGCTCTCCACATCAAACCAGAAATACCTCTGTTCACGTTAATTTGATTACCATTGATATACTAAGAGGCATTAAAAATACAATAAATGATGGTTGGAATATGTTGCATTTTTAAAGCCTCCCAATATACAGTAGCTATACAGTCTTTCATTACTTTACACTGACACTTTCTTGGGTGTAATTTTAAAACTACCTTAGTTTAGATTTACATTTTAGCATGGAGTTAGGGCTGGAACTGGGTTGTGGCTGGTTGGGAATACAATTGAATGACGAATAGTTGTCTCTTATACTGTATTATAGTTGTTAACAGATTGGTAATACTTTGCCTTTATCAGTAAAATAATGCTTTGTAGAAAAGATATTAAAAGTTAAATGTAGATGGCTTAAATTTCCACTGAGAAGAAAACAAAATCTAACATTTACATTTCAACATGCATACAACATATAGTTTTAAACCGGAAAGTTCTGTTTTTCCAATTTTATTTTCTGAGCTTGTAAAAATATCATCCACTTTTGTGGTTTTGTTAGAATTCCACCCCTTTGAAATGTATCATTTAGCTGAAAGCTCTCGTCTGTTTTTTTTTTCCTGTGTGTATTTTAAGGTTTTCGAAGCCTCTGATTTTGGGTCACACCCACTTTTCTCAATGGCTCAAGGAAGTCTGGAGCTGCAACAAGTGAGTATGATCTGTGAATGGACAGGAGGAAAGACAGCCTTGCAAGTGTTTTAAAATAGCCTCCCTCAACTGAGCAGGCATACACAAGCGAGGGCAATCTAGGGAGCATTTATTTTGAATTGCGCATGTTGCAGCTGCACACAGCCTTGAGCCAGGGAGGAACTGGGTTCTTCATAAACACTGCAACGGTTAGAAATAACTTGGGGAAAATCCATCCATCTCATAGGAGGTAGGTTTTGTAATATTAAATAATTCCATAGCTAGTCATATCAAAGTATTGACATAAGATCAAAGTATTAATATCAGGAATTATAATACAAATTAAACAATCATTCGGTTCAAAGTATGTAAAGAGCATCCATGGGCTTCAAATATGAGTAAAAATAGAAACGCAAGCAATTTTAGATGAATCAGTGTTGCTTTACTTTTTAATAACATGTTGTAGTTTTTAAAAGAACAGAATTAGAATTAGAAAATAACAGAAAAGAACTGAGAAATCAAAAAATTCTCAGCATTTCCTCAACTAAAGCAAACATCAAACATAAGCCCATATGAAATGACAAATCAAAAATTAAATGTTCAGCTTTCCCTTAACCAAAGCAAACATCAGGCATAAGCTCATATACTTATAATAGAACTACACTCCAAGCGTGTGCATTCTTGACTGGCAGAGGAGGTGAAGTGCAATGCACGGAAAAAAAGAATGGCAGCACTCTTCCAGAGCACAGAACCTGAAGTGTATAACTGTAAGTGTATCTGTGCATTAACTGCAGATAAATACTATTTGGCAGGGGTATGGTTACTGTCAGCACTACGGCAAAACCTGCAAATGAAGCTCTTGAATGTGAGAGATGAAGAGATTACGCAGCATAAAGTGGTTCTGTGAAGGGACAATTAATGCTTTAATACATTATTAAAGAGCGCAGAGCTGAAAGCAGAAATGGAAAAATAATCATTTAAGTTGAACCTCCCACACAGCTACAGTTGATGCAGAGAAATCTAATTCCCCTGCAATATGGACAAGCAGCACTGTCAGAAGTGATGATCACAGATGGCCACACCAGTCCTGAGGGATTCAAAAGTGGTTGCTTTAATGATGTAAAGATCACTGGTGGCCTAGGGTGGCTCAGACTAATGCATCGCCGGTCACTATGTTTTACTCTACTTCCACACCAGACATACTACAATGAGATCACCACATGCCATTCTAGCAACGCATCTTACGCTAAACATGTTTAGAGACATTAACTGCCTGCCCTGTACTTAAAGTAACAGTTATGAAGACAAAAGCTTTTGTATCTACGACGTTTTTTGTCAGATTTCTGTGAAATGATTTTTGACACAATAAATTGCCTCAGTGTATCAGTGCACCAGAGAGCAAATCTTCCTTTCAGTCCTATAGCAACACCTTTCATGAGGTGTAGCACTAGTTTGGTTCTTCACAGATGAGGGTGATTCGGGTTTTCAAATTCCTCGAGTGTATTGAAAAAGCCACTCCTAATCTTCAAAATGAATAGAGAAAGTCAAACCAAAGAAGATAAATTATGGAGAAGTGCATTTAAAACAGTGAACAGCAGACACTTTTTCACAAACAGGGCTATGGAAATCAGGAACAATCCAGGCATATAGATGAAGCTTATACACTAGTTCCTTTCAAGAAACATTTATATGAGATCTTTGTACAATTCAGCTGGTACTGTAGTAAGCAAATGAACTATGTGGGCTGATTGTCCTTCTTTCATGTGTAACCTTTCTTATGTTTTTACATTGACAAGAACTGCTTTGAGTCCATTGGAATTTGATTATCACAGACTGCTCCAGCTTTAAAGCCCCACAGCACCATTCCCTAGGCAGTAGTGAATTTATTCCACAGTGCCAAAGGACTAGTTTCTTACTGTTATCTGGGTTCCAAGGGAGTGGAGTCACCTTCTGTAACAATAAGCCCCATTACATTGTGTTCTAATGGTCTGCTGGTAGCAAGACCAAACCTTTTAATGCTCGGGATTTCTACCCCTTTCTCGGAAGAAGATATGAAGTAAACTTTATGGGTAAAATCGTTTGACAGGAAACATTTGTGAACTACTGTTTTCTGAGGCAACTTACACAAGCCAAAACCCCGTGCTCAATAAATAAGACAGTGTTTTAAAAATACCAACCTTTATGACTGCATTGTCATTTTACATATGCTTTGCTTTCCTTAATAATGTCCTTAAATCCCCAGCCACTTGTAGGTGAATCCTAGTCCATTAATTTAAGTTTGGATGTCATCTGTGAAAAATGCATTTGTTATTTTAACAAAAAAGCTTGACCTTTCACCAAACCATGCTTTCTGTATGTGCTTAAAGAAAGGTCTTAGTCTGCAAGCAGTGGAAAGTGAAAAGTGCCTCCTGAATAGTTTGTAGATGTGGCCAACCTTCGGATCATTACCAGTATTAAGCAATTTACACAATGTACATTTTTACACTGCTGTGTACAGTACTGTAGATACACACAAACTTCTTGAAAGCATCGCATAGTCGAAATGCTGCTCTCAGTTAATTAATGACTCACTACGACTTGAGCTTGCGTGACAGCATATGTGATTCCTCCTTGATTTATAAAGCTTTTTTTTTTTAATTATTCACAGGCCTACACAGTACAGAACCAATATGCCATTCCGCATTCAGAGGTAAGGTTCTAATCCTGCTCTATACCTGCAGGTGTTCCTTTGTCAGATTAAATAATCACAGAAAACCTCAGTTAAAATCTCTTGTGGCTACACTGACTAATTAATTTACCGTTTGTATTCACTCAGGATATTTAAACATCCCAAGGAAAGTGACACTTGCCAGTTTGCAATGGCACTGCGATTTCTTTATTAACCTGGCAGCTCATTGGTGCAATGTGGCGTGAAAAGTGTAAATGCCCTGATGTTAAAAAAAAAGTTCTCTCTGAAAGAGATGCAAGGCATTCATATTTTGAATAAATGTCCCTATCACACTATCAAATCCTCATTTAAACAAAAAATATAGTACTGTGATATTCATTTGGATATGGCAAGGCTTGCAATATCTAGTCTATGTCACCTTTGCATAAAGATAAATTGTCATTAATCACTGATCCTCCTGATGGCATTATTTATTTTCTCAGGTATTTCCAGTCAAACAGGTGCCACATTTTTGCATGTGTCTATGGTGTATAGCTCAGTCTGTGATGCTATGTGATGAGTGAATGCTGTGTTTTGTTCCCTCTCCCTGTCTCTGTCTGTGTTGTAGTTGGCAAAGCTCCACCAGCTGTCAATGCAGCAGGGTGCCCTTGGTCCCCTAGGCCAGACAGCCACCCCTGTCCTGCAGGGTACGTATCTGCCTGGCATGAGGCCCAGGGCTGCAGGAGAGCGAAATACTGGGGGGGATTCCCCAAGGGTGGCACAAAACTTAAAGGCGGTCAGTCAGGAAATATGAGCTATCTCACTCACTCACTCAATTACAAAATGAGGAAAAGTTCGATTAATATAGAGAATCAAAATTAATCAAATCTGATAAAAAGGAAAAGAGCACTACAATTGATTTACGTACTGTATACCACTTATTTCAATTTTGTTTTGTGTGTATTACCACTCAGTGAGAAACTGTGGGTCTCTATCTGACCTGCGATAGCCAGGCTATCAAAAATGTTTGTTTTTGTTTTAGTTTTCTTCCTTTATGTACACCATGGAGTACTTTATGAGTGAATTTATCTGGGATCTAGTAAGCAAAAATACGAACAGTTTTCAACAGCTAAAGGACTGAATGAAGTCTGTAGCTAATTTTCATTTTGGAAGGCATTCTTAGTATAGTAACAGAAAGCTCCCGAGATAAAAGTTTTTCAGAGTAAGGCTCTTGAACACCCAGCTGTCATCAAGCACATGATATATGTGAGGAGATACATAGCTTGAAGATTAGATGAGTGAGTTAGGGCTAGTCCAATTAGGGATTTGAAGGCAAGCAAGAGGATTTCAAGGCCAGTTAGGAACTTTACTTAAAGAGACTGACAGCACCTTAAAATAAGCATAATGTGTGGGTTAATTAAATCGTTTGCCACTTCAGCCATGTTAGCTTCATGTTTGAGTATAATTTTAAGGCCCTGCTATTTAAGTCCTCCTCTTGTACTGCAAACATTCTTGCAGATTTGCGATAAAAAAAGTACAGTGTCCGGAATACTGCAATGAAAAAGCAAGCATGGGCTGTGTGCTCATGGGCAATTCTGGAATTCTGTTCTTAGGGTTTTTCAGAGCAAACCTCATCCATCATAAAATTAAACTTTGGTGACTTCAAAAATGAATAAATCATAGAGACAACTAATGTTTTTTTTTATTATAAAGTTAATTGAAGATATGGTCACCAGGAAGGCATGTGATAGTAATCAGAATGTTTTGATAGATATGATAAACAAGGTTAAACAAAGGACAGATGATACATAAATGATACAAAGGGTTGATTTACAGCCCTGTTTCAACTGTAGCAACAGGATGCAGTTATTGTAATCCATCAAATGGGCCATTGAATGGTAAAAAGTGGTAAAACAAATAAGTAAACAGCTCAAAGGTGTATTATTTAGTGATGGAAAGGCCTCTGTACAGAGCATCTCTAATAAGATATAAATTCCAAATTTAATTATGGAATGTTATATGAATATTTCTGCATACCTATCTGTAGTCAGGCAGGGACATCATTCAGAATGAAAATAAAAGTTTTATACAGTATTTAGACTACAGAATTCACTCTCAAACCTATTATATGCAGATAATGTGTCCCTCAAAACACTGATTGCAGTTAATTTTCTCTGTAGGAATGGAATCCAGTTCACAGACAACATCCCAGGAGCTCCTCATTCCAAATGATGTAAGTTAAATTGTGTACATTTTATTCCAGGACTGAATCAATTGAGTTAATCACCAGAGCTAGATTAAATCTTTCCTCTTTTTGCCACATAATCATCAGAGTTTCACATTTGAGATTTGTGGCCATCATCATCTTCAAAACCTCTGGGTATTTGGTTTGTGTTTTTCCATTCATCAATACTAGAAAAAAACACATGAGTTGTGATCGATTTGCTTTTTTGAAGAGTAATTCCTTACCAAGGACCCATGGGATAAGAAACTGAGTGTCACTTCTTAATCACCTGTCTTCTCTTCCGAGTCTCATGCATTCCTTTAAGGTGGCTTGGAAGAATGGCTTAGGAATGTTAAATATAATAAAGCACAATGTCAAAAACAATGTAAATATTGCAAAAGTCTTTCAACCATTCTTTTCAAACACACTACACTGCTTCAAGAACTCTTTGGAATACTTTGGATATTTTCAGACTGGGGCTACTCAAATTCCCTAGGTTGCTGAAATCACTGACACTCTTCAAAAACAATAAACTGCTTGGTTTGGCTCCTGGCCCTTTGATGATGGTCACCTTCCATTTGCCCAGTTATTTCTGTCCATATTTTAACCATTCAGAAGTGTCAATTTCTATTTCTTGATGTGTCTTATCGTAATGAATAGTTATAACTGTTTTTAAATCCTCCGAAGAGCTATTCACTCTGATACCGAACACAACTCAAATTGTGTAATGTGAATTTGACCTATGATTTTCTTGCTTGATGGATGACAGATCTTTAAATAATCACAACCATACATTTAAAGATGAACTCTCTCTGAGAATACAGAAGGAAGTTCAAATGACTTATATTACATTCATTTGCTCAAGGATAGCAATTATGACACATTAGTGGAATAATGCCACCAGAGTTCAACAATGTTCTTCTATTACTTAAATTCCTGACTCAGGCAGTATAAAAAGCAAAGAGAGCTCTGCAAAATCTACTAATGGAACAAATAAGCAAGTAAGATGACTGCAGGAAGCCTAGCACAGTAAACACTGAAGGCAGAAGAAGCCTCATCTGGAAGAAACAGCAACAGACGTTCCCTGTTAGGTTATTCAGACTGTTGTATGACATTTTTAGAAAGATGTTCAAGTTACGTCTAAACATTTCAATCATAAAACAAACTTAAATCGTAAAACAAGCATATACTGTAAGATACTGTATATGATTTATATACTGTATATTACTTAAATTACTGCAGTACATATGAATATTATTTTGTTCCTTTTGGTTGCCTGTTAATATTCAAATCAACCACTGAGGTAGTATGATCTTAGGTGCTGTTGCCTCACAGCTCTTGGGTTCATTTCTGGACTGGGCAGCTCTCTTTGTGGACTTTGCATAGTCTTCGTATATCTACAGTGTGTGAATTTTCTGGTATTCTGGTTTCCTCCCTCTTATCAAACAAATGCTGGTTAGTTGAGTTAGAGGAAGAAGAGTTCTTTCCTTCATCCTGCCCTGTGTGGAATAGCTCTGGGATCATGTTGGTTCAGTTGTAGTGTGGATAAAGTCCAGATGGAGAAGACTTAAATCAAACACTTGAAACGGTGAATTTGCTACATGGTAGTTAATCTCCATGGAAAGCAGTTTCAATACTTTTTAGTTGCTTAAAAATATAAGTATAAAAACGGAAGGAAAAGGTTTAAATAATCTCGTCTAACGCTCTTTTTTTAAAAAAAATATCTATTTGAGAGAATAATGTACTAAATAATCAACAGCCAATTTTTTAAAACAAAAAGAAAGGATTTTGTAACACTCCTAAAGAAGTACTTGGAAACATTTGCTGTAAAAAAAAAAATCAGTAGCCATACTGTATATTCAAAGCAAAAAGAGTGGAAAATGTGATCTGCAGAATTATTCGGTGATTTCCCTTCAGGCATCAGGTCTGCTTGCCTGTCTACAAGTTCCTAACCTCATCAGTTGCAATTCCATTAATAGCCCCCCACGCCACTGCCAGTGTGACAAATCAGGCGCTGTGAAGGCTTGTGACTCCTGTGGAAAGGAATGCTCTCTTCAGCCCCCGGGTGAAGCACAGCTCTATGATGGGAAGGAGAACAAAAGGGGATCTGTCCTTCAGAGGCATGCCAAGCTGCCAACACGTTGATGCTGTGGAAGTTGGAAGTTATCCTTGCCTACACTAGGGCTCATGGATGGCCCGAGTTAAGGCTTTGCACTGAGCTCTGGATTTGTGTCTGAATGTAAACCAGTCAGATGAAGTTGAGTTAGGTCCCTGTGGATCAGGAGGTGGTGGAATCTATCCAGACAAAGCTTAAAAACGAGGAGACGGGGGCATGCTCATAACCTGTCTAGGGTTTAGACAAATCCTACTGGGTCAGTAATCAAAATAAACACCACTGGTTATTAATATAGTGTGCTATCAAAATATTTCCTTTATTGTACTTTTTAATTTATGGCCACCTCAATAGAAAATATCATATAAGGCTCCTTTATAGCTAAACATGCTTACACCTAGATTGGTATCTTAAACCATCTGCATATTAAAATCCAACAAATTGGTTTCACATTTTATTAAAATGTATACTATCGGCACTTCTTGTCATGAGATTTGTATCAGTTCAACTTATCTATGTAGACAAGAGTTGAAGATTATATTTCACAGCCATTTGATCCATTTCCTCAAAGAGCTACAAACAGTATTTCATGTTTGTCACTTTAATCTTGAGTAACTTCCCTTACACTTTGTTATACAGGATGTGCATTTATATTTATTCATTTGTTTGTTTGTTTGTTTTAATATATAATCAGTACAATGTCTACAAGAGTCTTTTGTCTGTAACACCACAAACAGATCAGACTTCTACTTAAGCAATGGTATTCCCTTTCCATCAGTGCTTTTTTTTCAGAGGAAGGATGTGCTTCAGAACAAGCAGATTTAGCTTTTTATGTAAATTAATAATAAACAGGTCAATGACTGTCTTGCTAAGAATCATCCTAAACGTTCTGCAAGGTTAACAGTGCTTTCAAATTATTTAAGGATTTAGCTTTTAATTAGCATTTGCATGCAAAGCAATGAGAATACATTATCTGAACATGTTTGACGAAAATGTATTCAACTATTGCTTCATAGGTTGTAAAGACCAGTTGTTGTTTTTTCCATTTAGATTAAATTAATTCAAACTAATTAGGAACAGAAAGTGGTTTCCACCCAGTTTGTAAAGATAAGGCAAAATGCCAACTAAAAATAAAACAGTGATAATTACTTAGCCCATTTAGGCTAAAACATTTTTCCATGATGGTTTCCATTAGCTAGTAGAGAATGATTTTCAAATCTTGCTCACTAAGCGATACTTTGCAAAAGTTGCCCAGCTTTGAAAATCAATAGCCACTTAGCCATGTGGATCTAGGACAGACAAATGTGCACTTTTCTGGCTAATTTACTGAACCCGAAGGAACTGAAATTGACCAGGGATTGGAAATAGAAAATCAGCTGATAAAGAACCAAATGATAGACTGAATCATGTTACAGTATACTGAAAATTGAGACAAATAAGATGGCAATATTATTAACATTAAATGCATCCTGGAAAGTTATTGGGAAAGTGGGATTTTCCTCTCAGTAATGTCTTGGACACTAGTAAACCTAACATTAGAGATATTTCAGCATATTAGTACTTTTAATTTCTAGCACAGGTGTGCAGTTATGTGTTCTTGCTTTTTTATACCATTTAAAAACTTTAGATGCCACTTTCTAAACAAGCTGGATAAGAGAGATGGGATATATTAACTAAATGCACCAAGGGAATTAGGTTTATTTGATCATTTCCCTATATAAACACTTGGAATATTAAACAATAATCCTGAAAAACCTATACTGCAATGATGTGCTTTTACATTATTTTGAAAGATGTTATTTTTTCTCATTCGTTCCAGCTGATTGGTTCAATCATTGGGCGACAAGGCACCAAAATCAATGAGATCAGGCAAGTTTCGGGAGCCCAGATTAAAATCGGCAGCCAGCTCGATGGGACGAGTGACCGGCATGTCACCATCACTGGGTCACCAATTAGCATCAACTTGGCACAGTACCTCATCACATCGTGGTAAGGAATGGCACCAGAATCGCAGTCTGAACTCCCTCTTAAGTTGGTCTAAAAAGACTATTCCTCAGCAATTGTGACAAGCTTTTTAAGATTAAGCAGATTCACCAATCAGCACATGTCACTGATAAAGAACAGGTAGCTGCAGAGCAAAGGCAAACATTGGAACTTGAGGAATGAATGGACAAGTGGAATGAGGTTTAAATGTCTTACTTTAGCCCCAAAATTCACAACGTTTTGCACTACCTTACTTGGCGAAGACCCCTAGCATTCCGTGAATGAGCTTGAAGGTCAGGAATGAAGTACTTGTTAGCAGGGCTATAATTGGAGTCTTGTAGCCTATGTTTGTCCTTTGCTCAATTGTTACAAAACAAAATAACATTCATCTGAATGATACAGTATAACAGACCAGTTTAAGTATTGTAACACTATAAAACAGAATTTTTAATTTTTTTACTGTAAAACACAAATGCGCAGCTTTTAAGATATTAGGGCTTGGAGATCAATGTGAATATTACAAATCTAAGAGATTAAAAGATAAAATTCTATATTTTGTTTTTCTGAAAACCACAATACCTACAGTATAATACTTCATTCTCTGCAAATTGTCCAACATTCAGCTACATTTGTCACCCAAGAAGTATAACAAATATGGTGTGTATTGAGCTGAATAATCAAGGTGGAAATTGTTATTCAGCCATTTATTTATTATAGGTTTCAGAATGATTCACATGGATCTCTGACCACTCTTTTTTCTAAACTCTTATGCTTGGTCTGATGTACTAATAACTGAAACAGTGATAATTCAAAAATTCAGTTTTATTTTGTCACTGAAAGGAGGCACAGCAGAATGCAGTGTCTTGTTTATTCCAACAAGACTTCTTCCCCGATGAATTTACAGTGAGGTGGCTACAGATAAAACATGAAACGTACTAGACAGCAGATTCAAATGAAAGACTAAAACCACCAAACATTTCACTGACTCAGACCTTTAAACCTGCATACACAAACCGTAATTAATCTGAAAATTTTTTGTTTCCTCTTCCCAAGTCCCAACCCAAGCCATCTCCCTTAATTAAACAGCACCTCCCCCATGAGAACTGAGGCCCCTTAAATAATCTGTTGCAACCTCCAGCAAACACCTCTTATGATTTTTTTTTAGTTTCTCTTGGTTTCTTTCTTTAACATGTCTTTTATTTAACCTTCTAATCCTTTTCCATCCAATCTCCCTCTCCTCTTGTCTCTCCCATTCCCCTCCACCCCACCTTCCCCCCCTCCCCACACCCCCCCCCTCCGTCTTCCTCTTCCTCGCCTTGCAGTTTAGAGACCGCCAAATCCACCGCCCAGTCCTCTTCCATCACGAGTCCCGTTGACCTCAACATGACCTTCACCCAGCCCGCCTCCCCCGCATCGTCCTCGGCTGCAGCCCTGGCAGCCATGGGTGCCATGCCCCCTGCTCAAATGCTGGGCGCCCCCTACGCCCTCCCCCTCTCCAGCATCCTGGGAATGAAATCCGTCCCTTTCCTGGCACTGTCTGCCCCTGCCGCTGCCCCCACTGCCCATGGGACCCTAGCTTCCTACACGGCCAAAATCTCTTCAGCCAATGGGATCAAGAAGCCAGAGAGACAGAAGTTTGCTCCCTACTGATGTCCCCTGACAAGATGATCTCCTTCCTCTTTATTTCCCCTGCCTGGATTTAGCTGGATAGAAATCTTTACCAGAGACTGGATAGCTTTTTCATTTTGTAGCCTAGAAATGCATTATAAGGTGTCCTCTTTAAACAGTGGAGAGGACACTGAGGAAGTCAGCAAATATTTGCCAGCAGGAAGGTCCCTGAAGTCAGACTTATTCTGTCCCACCTCTCTCACTCTCCACTATTTATTGACAAACAAATGAGAACAAAAGAAGTTATTTCCTCAAAGAGTTTGTAAATGATACACTGGTCACTGAAGCTAACTGTATGTATCTGCTTTTATACAATAATGTCTGTGTATGCTCCTGTATGACTTTATGATTTTTTTTAATATATATGAAATGTATAAATTGAATTGTTTTTAAAATGACTACAGCTTGAAACCTCTTTGCCGTATGTTTTTTAAAAGGCAGTTTCAATGCATTTATTTTAAATGTGTAGTTTTGTTTACTTTATTTATTATTATTTCTGAAATGATGGCAGGTATATACACAAGTTTTGGAGACCTGCGACTGATGATACAAAACAGGCAGTTGTTTCATGCTTTACAAAAAAGCTTGTTGGCATTAAGCAAACTTGCAGTCGTTCCTAAAAAGAGGTGGGGTTAAAAATTACCATATTAGTGTTTTATAGGAAGGGTGTGCTGCCACTTCTAAAATGTATCAAACCATTAAAATTAATTTAATAACGCATACTACAGCCAGTCCCATTTTATTTCTGCATTTCAAAGATGCTTAAAAGATAATTATTCACCATGAAATTATATTTTGGCAATAGAAACTATCTAGTTATTTGATTTGTCCCTCTAGTGTCAGCACCTAGATCTTCAAATTGACTCTGCCTTTACAAAAATACTGAGTGACATTAGAAGATTACAAGCTTACTAAAAAAACTACATCACAGGTGTGCTGGAGGGCCTGTGTGTTTGTAACTGTTCCAAGTCTCGCAACAGCACGTGATAAGCTGGGAGAAGCTGTTAAACTGGTCCAGTTAAACCAGTAACCAGCTGGTTTGATAAGTGAAGAGTTGGAATTAAAACCCACATACACACCAGCCCTTCAGAACCAGGATTGGATACTCCTGTTCCTGCTCTACATTCAACTGGTGCATGAGTAAAGGAGCACATGATATGAAATTAACATTTAAATGCTATAAAATGATAAAACACTAAAGTGTGAAACAGGTTTATGCACATACTGTATGAATGTGACTGTGGCAAGTGACATCCAGTTAAACAGTTTCCCAGTCATGGTGCTTTTGTTTTTGTTCCATCTCAGCTCCTTATATATATAAATTACTGAACCATTAATGTATCCACTTGTTTTTCTACACTTAGATCTTACTTTTAGAAATTCCTTCATATGAGTAATATTTACAAGAAACGGTGCAAATTAATTTCCCCTTCAATTTGTTTTTGAATTTTTGCTCTCCCATAATTTTCTAAACTATGAAATTATTCCTAATTGGGGTGTCATTAATGATGTACAAAATCAGGTATTAAATGACGCATTCCTGTGCCCAATGTCTCAAACAATCCCATAAAAACCAACCATTCTTAGACAACTGTTCATAATAAATTCCACCTCACAATACATACAATAAAAAATGTCCAGCATTTGGTACAGAGTTGATGCCAGAGCTCAAGACTACCTGAATAGCTGAAACCTTTTTGGAATAATAATTAAATTAAAGGTTCGATAAGCTTAAATAAGAAAGGACTCAGCTGGAATGAAAACAAATCAGAGATACTGTAAAACCATACATGGGAAACAGGATCTAATTAATTTAAATGAATCTAATTAAATTAAACATGAGTTTTCACATTATTTAAGAGATTAACCTTTTAAAGCAGTTTTTAAAATGCAGTTTCATGAATTTATCTTCCAATTTTCCAACAAGCTTTGGTACGGTATGCACACCTTGATTTTTTTTTCTCCAACAGACTTAATTTGCATGAACATGACTGGCCTTATTGTCTATGCAAAACATCTGCTTCTGGTTTTTACAACTTTCTATTCTCCCATATATTCACAGCAGTGCACAGCTGCAAATGGGAAAGGGCTACTCAGACCAGTATTATAGGCACCTCATTAGCTTGTTCTTTTGTTACCCCAGATTCTGTGAACCAAATTAAGAAGCATCTGTGCATTCAGCACAGCAGCTTTCGCACACAAAACAATCCTAACTTTTTACACCAACAAATTTGCACTTGAAAATTGTATTTTGAACTGAAGGCCAAAAATGTTTTCCTAATACTGTAGTGTTGTTTTCATACAAACGCTAATCATTTCTGTTTACCACAAATACTTTAGATTTTTTTGTGATTTATTTTTTTTAATTTTTGTTGTTTGAGCAGTGCCCTTCAAATAAATCAATAATGCATTAACCTGCTTCTGTTGCACAAATGCGTCTCTTCATCAACCTCTAAAGGAGACATATGTACTTCAATGGCAGACAAAAAAGTAATGTATGCATATTCTTTTTTGTTTGGAAAACCAGAAAATACACAATTCAGATCTAATCCTATGCTTATGTCTTACAGTGGTTAAATTAAGCAAAGTCATCTCAGTGTCTTTAACAATACACACAGAAAGCAATAGCAAATGTTCTGCATCAGGGATGAGTAGATGTGGTACTTGAGGTATGCATAGTTAGCCATTCCACCTATGATCTTAATTGCATAACTTAACTAATTTTTTAGATAGTCAAATCACCCATTTCAGATGTTAACCTGTCACTAATTTATACAAATTCATAAAACCTGAAGAAATCTAGTTCTAGTCAACTTAAGCTGTCTGCTCTTATTCTGTACTGCAGACTGAAAGGAACTGAAAGGCTTCAGGTGTCTTGAAACGGATTATAAAAATAGCACACTTTGCTGCATACAATTAACACATTCATGATAGTCAATACTGAAGTCAGCATAAGAAATTAAGTGCACTCACATTGCCATTTAACTTCAATTTTGGCATGTCAGAACACACACTCATTGAGGCAGGTATAATTTTTACTTGTAGCTTACTGTACTGATTTGTTTTGTAAAACTGAGCAGGTGGGTCTAAAATACACCCACCTGCTGTTTCACTTGACAGATTCCCTCAGCATTGAAAGCCTCCAGGCTTAGCTGTGTAACCAGCACAATCTGCTGGCTTTCTTCCATCACCCCAAAACAAAATGAGTACAACAAGAGATCAAAGCGAGTCCAACATAGCTTTTTAAAACTGGAAAAGCCAAACCAAATTCTTCAGGATATGTTAAGGCAACTATAGTTCCTTTTTTTAATACGAAAAAGGCAAATGTTAGTGTATCTTTGTTTTTAATCAAAGACAACCTAATGACCAGGCAATAAGACTGGAAACCCTGTGGGGGACATTCTGTTTTTTCAAAACACAGTAGAAACAAAAGCTAAAAAAAAGTTAAATAAATCAGTTCAACATTGAAATTGCTATTAACAACATGAAAATGGGAATGCTTTTGTAGGAATCATAACATTGTCCTTGCTGGCTGGAAGATTAGACTTGTTAATACTCCAATATGAACAGAAGAAAGAACATTAAATACCTTAATGTTATAAAGAAACTGTTAAACCGCCTTCAGTGACTTCTAAATTTTGGCTCACTGTTGAATTGTTTCTGTGAAAGTTTCAGTATGGTATAAATTCTTAAATTAGATAAAGTGTATTTTTAATTCTCACTTTAATTCTCACCTTAGCCAATTTGTACACATCATTCAACTGTGATACATCTATTGAAAACTAACCACAAAACAGTGCAGGTCTAATGGGTATCTCTCAATGAAACAATAAAACTGCCACCATAAATCAAATCTCTCAGGATAACCTGTGACACTTGCTTTATTTGAAATAAACTCTTTTAAAAGACAGCTGTTTCAAAACACACTGTTAAAAAAATAGTACCATGGGAACCACAATAAGAAGATCACAATACTCCCTGATCCACCCAAACAATGTTAATCAAAAATAATAATTTGTCTGCATGTCTGACCTACTCACTAGTTATTATAATCCTTTATCACTGAACATCACTTTTGAAGTCAAAATTCAAAGAGTTATGTACCGACAGTATAAACATAAAACTAAAGTAATTAAGTAGACAAGCATTATTAATTACAGGATGCAAAAAGTAATATTTTTCAGTTTTCTAAGAAGATAACATTATTACAATTATGAGCCAACTGGAAAAGGT